TATATGTATATAGTGGTAGTAGGTCAAAAACTTGTGTGTGTTTTTATTAGATTAGTCTTTTGAGCCATTATGTTCAAGTACTATTTAAAGCCGATAGCGTAATCGAATGTGAATTTAATTGCTAATCAATGTGAATTGTTTTTATCAATTTGAAGTGAGTGCGCGTGTGACTGAGAATGGCCATAATGAAAAGAGGAAAATTACTCTTCAATTGATTTTTGCTGCTGTCTGCATCCAGTGACAAAGTCCAATGTCGTGTATAAGCCACACTAGCTGGGGATTTTATACTAGCGAATACCCTGTATTTAATAGACCTAGGGGAATATCAATAAAATCCACGCAGTATGCGCTCAGGTGTTCTGGCCAACTCACAATGCTGCCGTTTGTTTGTTTACGGCACATGAAGGTGACTCAGCAGCTTAGTGCAACACGGCGACACAGAGCTGCAGCAGCATGTTGCTGCTGACTGGCTGCAGCTAGAGGGAGCCTAACTGCACTTTGAGGCCATTAGTTGAGCTGCAAACCTGTTGATTTTGTTGACAATGCTAACGGATGTTGGCTCAGCTGCACGTGAGAGTCATTTGTCCTTTTGGCCAGTCACTTGGCATTTCCAGCAGAGAGAACGGCCGAGAGAGAGAGAGCAAGAGAGTGAGTGAGACAGAGTGAGACACACACAATATGCAAACGTGAGAAAATGTGCGAAAGTACCAAGTAGGGTATACCAGCTTTCGGGTGGGAATGTAATGCGTGTATGGGGCAACACGTAGACAAGGGCCAATCACTGTTCAGTGTGAGATGATGTAATTGGCCGAGCTCTCGGGAAAGTGGATCAATGGCACAGCAAACATTCGCATACATAACCCACTCATAATCGTCAATCCGCTGTTCCTTTTGTATGCATTGCAGCTCACAGACGAAGTTGTGCGCAAGAAGAGCGAATACCAAAAACATTTGGAGGGCTACAAGGCGTTACGCACGCGCTTTGAAGAGCACTACATAAAAGGTGAGTGACACCGTATGACTAGCCGGCTAAACTATCTCTATTCGAGCAATTCGTCCTTCCCGCCCGTGCAGCACCGGGTCGAAGTGGTCGCAAACTGGACGATGTGCGGGACAAATATCAAAAGGCCTGCCGTAAACTGCATCTTACCCACAACGAATACGTGCTCTCCATCACTGAGGCCGTCGAGGTTGAGAAAGACTTCCGCACAGTGCTGCTGCCGGGTCTGCTCGAGCATCAACAGTCTGTGCAGGAGAGCTTCATACTCCTCTGGCGCAACATTCTCTTGGAAGCGGTTCAGTACAGCGATTTGACAGCCGATAAATTCAAAGAGATTCAGAAACGCATCGACACTGTGATAAGCGGCATAAATCCCACGGAAGAGTATTCTGAGTTTACAGAGAAACACAAGTAAGTGTAGACCCTGCTCAAAACTTTCGAATATTAGACAGTTCTACAAGAAAAATGTCACATTAGGCCTCATTGGGATATTCGTAACAAGCTCTAACCAAATAATTATGTTATTATTCATAAGTATGTGCACTAATTAGACATTGTGCGTTAAGATATACCAATCCTATACTAGACAATATAATTTTTACATATTTTAACTGTTAGAAATTTATTAGTAGCTGTTATCATTAATGATTACCGGGAATAACTTGAGTCATGTATAATTAAATCAATCAACTACAACTATTTTGATAATATAAGAGATTTCTAAAAAGTATCATAAATAAATGATTTTTGATATTCGTAGAACTTCGCCCACAACGCCGCTGCTCTTTCAATTCGACGAGACACTCATCGAGGACATACCGGGCAAGCTGACTGCGAGCACCCTGACCGTAGATAACCTGACCGTGGATTGGCTGCGCACGCGGCAGCTGGAGCTGGAGGCGGCTGTTAAGGATTGCCAGGAGAGACAACTGAAGATAATTGAGCATGTGAATGGTGGCTCGCCTGTGGCCAACGGCAGCATCATCTCCAATGGCAGCAGTGCATCTAACGGCATACAGTCCAACAAGGATAGTCAAACGTGAGTAGATACCTATCGAGTGTCGATGGATATCGCAATCACTATCCGGCTTCGATATTCGCAGTCGCCAGTCGAAGGACCTCAATGCGCTGCGCTGCCAGGAGAAACAAAAGCAGAAGCTCGTCGACATGATCAGGTGTGCGCTGAACGAGGTGGGCTGCGAGGAGCTGCCCTCCGGCTGCGACGATCATCTGTCGCTGGAGCAGAACTTTATCGAGCACGGCTTCAACAACGAGCAGCAGGTAGGTGTTAAGGCTTGATCGAACTAGCAATTGAATATGGGCGTTGGTTAGCTGTAAGCGTAGCGGTTTGGGTCAGCATCAGTGATCGACTAATCGTATGACATATTCAACTATTTCTACTCTCTTGGATGCCGCCTTCTGCCCCATACACACATACACACGTATACACCTACACACACACATATATATGTATATCCACAAACCATTTCTTAACCCATTCTAATTGAACATGCGTCGCTGCAATAGCGCTCCAACTCCACTAGCTCTCCAGGTCTGGGTATTATGAATGAGCTGATGCGCCGTGGTGGCGTTCTTACGCTCCTGCGTGGCCGTGGTCGCCACTTCAAGCGCAAGTCAACGCCGCAGCCAACGACGCCCATGGCCAGAGCGCGTCCAGGTAGATTCTCGAAGATGCAGCCTCGCTCGCAGAGCCTGGGATCACTGTCGGTAATTACGGATACGCGTAGTCCTGCACGTTACGAGCCAGTTACTAACCCAATGCGTCTGGCGGCCAGCGTCCACTATCTCGGCGAGGAGATTGTGCTGAGCGCTCAGCCGCCGGCGCTGCCTCGTTTGCGACGCACGCAGTGTTCGATGTTGTGTTTGGGCGAGGGTGACCCATCAGTTGATCCTTTGCAGTTGCCGTTACCGCTCCCGGTGGCCCTGCCCGCGCCCCCATCCTCGCCCCTAACTGCCACTGCCATTACTAACACTAACAACAATCACATCTACACGGATCTGGAGCTGGTCAACAAACCCTCCTCTGGTGAAGAAGAAACAAATGCGAATACGGATGTGAATGCAAATGCGGATGCAAATGCGGATGCGGATGTCGACAGCATTGCCAGTGAAAATGATATGGAAGTCAGCTGCCATCAGATTCAGATTGAGATCAATCGCGTCGAGTCGGACGACTCGCAGGCAGTGCCCCAGAGCTCCATCGATGCCCATCTAGACCGAATCGATGAACTAAACCGCGTGCTCGATGATCGGTTAAAGCGCAGCTTACAGCCTATGAGCCCTATGGATGTGAATGCCATCGAGAGCGCCGAGGATGTGAATGTGCAAAGGCGCCAGGCTGAACTGAATGCCGATAGCCAAGCCAAGCGCTGTTCCAGCTCAAGCTCCGAGTGCCGCTCCTCGCTGCAAGGCGCCAAAGATGCCGCCCAACAGAAGAAGCGATCACTGTCCTTCACGCAAAAGTCGATTAGTAACATAATCAGCAATATTAGGGAGTTCTCCAAGAGCCCCTTGGCACGCATGGGCAAAAGTGCGACGCTCAGCGAGGAGCCGGATCCAATTAAGCTGTCCGGCGAGCCGAGCCAGCTCTCCAACAGCAGTGAATCACACACGCAGCACAGTAACACTAACAGTAACAGTAACAGCAACAGCAACAGCAACAGTAACAGTAACAGCAACAGTAATAGTAATAGTAATAGTAACAGTAACAGTGTTCACAACAACAACAACAATGCCCATCCATGCCCACCAACAAGCACCGCCAGCTCCATGGCGACGACATTGACAACGACAAGCACATCCACATCCACATCCACATCGACAACGATGCCGTCCAAGGAAACCTCAAGACTGAAATTTAAAGTGCCAAAGATACAAAAGAAATCGAAAGCCATCCGCAATACATTCCGTACCAAGTTGCTCAGCTTCCAGCTGAGACGGTCCAAGCCGTGCAAGCAGTGCACCAAACGACGTCGGATACATCCCAGCAAGAGTGTATTGGACTTTGCCAAGGAGTTCGAGACGAATCCCCAAGAGCAGACCGAGCAGGAGCAGTTCTGTAGTTGCCCAAAGGGGAAGCCAAAGGCGCTGCGAATGTCCTGCCCAAAGGATCGCCCCTTCGAGATACCCAGCTCCGAGGAGCTGGACGACGAGGATGACGACGGCAACGAGGACAGCAGCAGCGACGATGTGCTCAGCCTTAAGGAGCACTGCTACTGTGTGCCCAGCTTGGCAGCGAGTGTGAGTAGCAGCGAGCCCCGATCGAGATCAGCATCGAGGCCGAGCCGTCTGCAGCATCCACAACAGTATCTAAATCTAAATCCAAATACGCACTGCCAGCAGAGGACCTCATTGCACATTGCTTGCCGTATTCCCGTAGTCGTACTCCTTCGTGTGCATGTGCTTTCAGTTTGCATGTTTCAGCTTTCCTTTGCAACTTTCTGCTTTCGATGCTGAACGTAGAGCGTAGACAGAGCCTAACCCAACAGACAAAAATACCAAAAATAAAATTCATGTCGCACTCTGATCACATTTGACATCAGTGGGATGTTTATAAGATAGTGACTGATCTTGATTGATACAGACAGAGCTTAGATTACACAATATCTGACACAGACACAGAGATTGTCCCACTATATTGAAGGGTTCTTTGATAACCTCTTCATGAAACATCGTAAATATTTCCCTTTGGCATTTGCATTAGCTAAATTTGTGATTGGTAAAAAAATCTAGATCAAAATTAATTTATAATATATTTATTTATGTATTTTAATCAATTTAACTTTTGTAAATATTTAGATTAGGTTAAATCTGTGTTACTACAGTTCATTCTAACTTTTCATACAGCCCTCGGCTATTATGCTAAATTTACTTGTGCGTGTCAAGAGACACAGAATGAGAGAGACAGAGAGAGAGAGAGAGAAAGGTGCAAGTTGAGGCGCTAAGATTATGGATCCAATCCAAATATTTCATTCAGTTTGCTCAGATCTGGCGCGCAGCGAAGACGTCTACTGCCGCCAGATATTTTACCTATTGGGTATACCGCTAAGACATACACGCACACGCACACATAGATTGAAAGAAATGTTTGGCGTCTGTTTGGCCAGTGAAAAATTGGAAATAATTTTCCTCAATTATAAATAGAGTGTGCGCGTGTGTTTCGCCTTGACATAAAGAGTATTGCGCAAGTAGCTGAGCTTGGGCCTTGGTATGAGTAGCACCACTTCCGGCGAAAGCCACAGCTGCAGTGGCTATGGCAGTGGCAACGGTGCCACAGACAGTGGCATCTTTGAGTCGATTGTCTTTGCCGGTCGCCCGGTGCCGCCGGTGCGCAGGAAGCGGCCCAAATCGAAAATATTTGTGAGTCAATCGAAAGACCTTGAATGCATTCGTCTCAGCCGAATATAGACGTAGTAATAACCACTTTTTGTTTTCACTGCATCCACGTATATTGAATCTAATTTATTTTGCTGCATATCTATATTTATTTTATTTTGAGTAATGCTTTAAGGCATTTAATGCCATTTCACTTTCGTCAGACGTATTTGCACCCACACACTTCCGTTTGGGCAGTGAGTGGGAATGGAAAACGAAATGGAAATGGAAATGGCAATGACAATGGAAATGGCGTACTAAATATTTAATTTGTGCTTTGCATGTTGAACTAATCCGAAAATAATAATGGAAAATGCGGCTAAATGGGGCATTTGACTAACTATCCGTATTGATACTGCTTGCAGCTCTCGCTATCCACGAATCGTCCCCTGTACGAGGAGGAGTGGTTCCATGGCGTCCTGCCCCGCGAAGAGGTCGTCCGTTTGCTGAACAACGATGGCGACTTCCTCGTGCGCGAAACGATTCGCAACGAAGAGAGCCAGATCGTATTGAGCGTCTGCTGGAACGGACATAAGCATTTCATCGTGCAGACCACTGGAGACGGACACTTCCGGTTCGAGGGCCCGCCCTTCCCCAGCATACAAGAGCTCATCATGCATCAGTATCACTCAGAGCTCCCAGTCACCGTCAAATCCGGCGCGATTCTGCGCCGACCCGTCTGCCGAGAGCGTTGGGAGCTCAGCAACGACGATGTCGTGCTCCTGGAAAAGATCGGCAGGGTAATATGCAAACTGATCTCCGTTTGCGCCATGGCAATTCATCGAAATGTTCTTTATCTCCTCGCAGGGCAACTTCGGCGACGTTTATAAGGCCAAGCTCAAGTCCACGAAACAGGATGTGGCCGTTAAAACCTGCCGCATGACTCTACCGGACGAACAGAAGCGTAAATTTTTGCAGGAGGGCCGCATCCTGAAGCAATATGACCATCCCAACATTGTCAAGCTGATTGGCATTTGCGTGCAAAAGCAGCCCATTATGATTGTCATGGAACTGGTGCCGGGTACGTAAATA